GGGGGGGGGGGGGTTGCTCCCACTAGTGGGTTGGCAAAGGGCTGCCATGGCTGCTAGTCAGTGTGCTTAGCAAGGTTGTAAGCCACCACTGTCCCCAGTAGTGACTGGGGACTACACTGGTATATATGGGTGAGGGTGGGGTTGCCCCCACTAGTGGATTGGCACGGGCCTGCCATGGCTGCAAGTAGAGAATGTGGCTTCGAATTCCTCCGTCAAATCAGATCACTTCGACTGCCTGGGTTTGGCAACACCACTGATGGTGAATCAACAGGCTCGGCAAATTAGGTCTGCGATGGTAGTGGTTTTATAAACGTTGGTTTTGGGCTTTTCATTTTCTCATGGCCATACTGCACACTACAGTTCACCTTCCACTGATAGACAGGGAAAAAGAGATTAGTTTTGGAATTTTGATTCTTTTTAGTCCTTTTTTTTTTCCGTTTACGATAAGAGTCTGCAAGGCATAAGGCTCCGACGAGCCCCTTCTTGGCCCTGTAAGCAGCACTGTCGGCCGCCCTAAGTGAAGGCGGGCCCGACCAAGGCCAAGAGGCCTATTTTTCGGCCACCACGCAACTGGGGAAATTCAGGCAGTTGCGCAGCGTCAGTTGGTTGAGAGCGCGCAGGCCCTGGCTGCATTTTTCGTACGTAACCGAGGCAGGCCGTGGGCCAGATACACAACATGGGCCGAACACAGGCTGTGGGCAGTTTGGCACAGGCAACCGTCACAGGCGCAGCAAAGAAGAAGGCGAAGGACGCCGAGAAGGCACGTCTGTTGGCAATCGAACAGCAGCGCCAGCAAGACGAGGCACCAGCAAAGGCTGATTCGTTTGGACCGGGGCCAGCCTCCCGGTGCCCACCAGAAGGGGGCCCAGTGCAGGCAGGCCACTTCCATTTAGGAAAGTGCCTGCCCTCGCCTTGGGTATTCGGGCACTGGCTGCATGCTGCGCTAAACGCTGGCCAGTGCTCACGGGTGAGCAGGAAGAGCAGACAGCCATAGCCGAGCTGCGCTGCGCTATGCTAGATGGGGCGCATGGTGGTCCTTGGGTGCATGTGGCATCTGTGAGTAAGGGATCGAGGTTGTGAGTGATGCGAGCGACATACCTGGTGCTTGAGGCGAACGGCATTAGCCGGGATCTGCTCGTACTTCGGGGAGCTGTTGACTTCACCAGCGGAATTGTAGATAGGGTCTTCCATTTGTAGACTGGGGGCAGAGCGCCAGATAGGGTGTCGACATTGGTTCATTGTTGATGATGATGAGAGAACTCCAACATTGTCACTTGTGAGCTTTTGCTGTGCTCTTATTTGATGAAACTCGTGTTGCAACTCTGCTTTTGGTTTGAGGTCACGACTATCTGGTTTCATGTGTATGATGCTCCTTGGTTTCTGGAGTTCGCTGTCGCTCATTTTCCTTGCAAGTCCCTAAACACAGTCTTAATTTCTCCATACTCGCGGCACATACGTGAGGTGCGCTGAGCGCAGATGCACAGGAAAAAAAAAACAAAAAAAAACAGCACCAACCGTGATGCGTGTATGCA